ATAAAAGTTCCATGGATACCATGAAGACAACAAAAATAGTATTTCTGTTTAGAAACAGAAGTTATACAGTTAAATAAATATATATCTTGCTTTACTCACTGTGGAACAAAATAGAGGCAATATCTTCAGTGTCTGAAAATACGGCAGTTCCATTTGGAACCTATTGTACTGGGTTAGAGAATGGCACAAAAACCGTGTTGGTTGTTGGAACTGCCTGAGGCGTTTAGAATTCTCTTCCTCAAAAAGCAGTGGATGCTGAATCTTTAAGTATTTTTAAGGGAGAAGTAGGTACATGCTTCATTACCAAGAGGATGTAAGATTATCGGGGGTATGCAGTGTTATAGAGATGAGTTATCTCATTGAATCGCAGAGCTGGCTCGAAGTGCCAAGTGACCAACTCTTGTTCCTAGTTCGTTTATTCATGTTTTGCTGACTTCCTGTTGTGACAGGATGTGAAAGATTTTTGGAAACTCATTCATGATCAATGTGTGATGTATCCTCCACACCCATTCCACTATGGCATTTGTCATGTACTCATCTGCTCCAGCTTGATACTGTGTTACCCCTCCAAAATAATGCACACTCTAACTGAACAACGTTACAGTCAATCAAATGAAAAGTTTGACTCTTCAGCTCCTTTTCCACCGTAATGATTTGGTTTTATTTTCCACACCTGGACATTTTCATGTTTAAAAATGCTTTGGGCTCATTTTAATTTCAAAATAAGTCTAATCTTACTTGAATTTCCTCTTGTGTTGCATTTTAATCCCCTCAGGTGGATACTGTTTGAGTCTGAGGCTTCAGAACAGGCCCCCTCCCTCTATTCTCCCAACCCACACTGATTGAGAGCCCTGCTTTATATCAAAGTGATGCCAGATTTCTCCCCTTGGCCCATGTTCCCATCTGGTCTTTCCAGTGGGAGGGAGTGAGCAGTAGCTCACTGAATTCTAATTGGGAGGGAAACCCTCCCACCCTTAATTTCCATGTTACTAAAGAGGCAAATCCAATTGCTCTGCCCCCATTTCACGGTATCAGTACCACCTGTGGGGTTGTATTGGTGAAGCATTAGCTTTACCACATCATCATGGCACATCTCGGACTTACTTATAATGCAGGTCAGCTGCACAGTATTGCTTTTTGGAGCTCATCAGTGCCTTACATTGCAATGTTGTTCCCAGATCTCATTGCACACAGGGACAGACATCTATCTGTGTTGGAGCACGGTGCATCTGCAGGCTCTTGCTTTCTTACTGCTTCCTTGGCAACTCGCAGCATCTCTCCCCTGCCTTTATGCACATTGCCACATCATTTAGAAATGATAGGCGCATGGTAGTTCTGTGTTGCCTTGCCTTTTAATCAGACAGGAAGCCTGGTTGATTGTTATGTTTTACCAGCATTGGTCAGTCTAAGGGGTGGACATGTTGTATGGCACTGTCACGCCAGAATCACACCCCCAACATATAGCACCACGTGCTTCAAACCTATGGCCATGTCTGAAAGTCAAAGGGAACCAGTCCTGATTCCAGTCACAGGGAACTATGTTGAGTCAGGAGGTGCTGACAGTTATTGAAGGGCAGCATCTGATCTCAGTCCACCAGCTTTGGCCCAAGGCTATTCAGCCCCTCGGTATGAACAGGGTCTGGGGATCTCTGCCATTACAGTCCAGGGAGTGGGTCGATGTCCATCTGCAGGCCACGTCGGAGGATTAGCAGTCTGCCAGGCCTGACAGCCTCTAAATGCAGAGGTCACAGCAGAGAGTCTGCTCACGCTCCAGAGGAGCTTTAGGAGGCCGCAGTCTTCTGACCTAAATGTCATTTCCGCTGGACAAATGGTGCGACCACTGAGGTGCAGGGGCCAGGCATTTCTGGAGTGCCCCGAGGGGAGACTTATGTGGCTTGTATGTGTTTTCTACTCTGGTCGAGTGTCGACAGGCATCCCCCTTTCTCTTGAGAGGAAGGAGCACCTGGAATGAGGTCAGGGTCCCTCATTCTCCTGGTGTCTTGCTGCTGGTGCTGACCAGCAGTGGTTAAAGTCAAAGTGTATCTTCAGCAGCCATTCTGTTGGACCTGGCTCTCCTTGATGACCGCTAACCTGTCTATGTAGACTTCCAGGCTGCACACACACATCAGAGCTAGCACAGTACAAACAGTGTTGATGAACTCATCCAACCCTTAATCCAATTTGCAGAGTGGCGCTTACAAACCTGCCTGCTGTTCCTGTGACTGTGTTGCATTTTTACTAAATATATTAACGGAAAACACCATGAGGTCCTCTTCCATCTGGGTCTAAGGGGATGCCTGGCTTTCAACAGTCCGCTGAGGGCCGGTGACCGGGGGTGGTTCTTCCTTGGCCAGCTGTGGAGATGTAGCAGTGATGTACTCATCAGAGTGTGCCCACAAGTCTAATCTAGCTAAAGTACCCACCAAGCTGACCGTATCTGAGCTAGTAGATGGTTCAAGAGAGAGCCTTGCTTGTGCTTCCTACTGAAAGCTCTGTGACTTCTTGCAAGGTGGTGGCAGAGGAGCTGATGACTAGGCGAGATGGTCTCTTGTGGGAGGACACTGGAGGCCATTGTTCCTTGGAGAAGACAGGAAGGGGGATGAGTTGCACAATAGGGGTAGAAGTTTGAGTTTTTAAGAGCATTCACTGTTGTGGTAATGGGAGAGTAGTGCAGTGCAGCTCCATAAAGCTGTCTAGGTTGCTGGAACTTGAAAATCTTTGCATCCCTGCATGATTGGCGTTGATCCTGTCCCAAAAATTTAAGGAACCTCTCCCCGGAATGGGTGAGAAGGAGAGTAATGCTGGCTATACCCCGTCACTTTACTGTAGGCTATTTTCTCCTACAGTGAGACAAAGGGAAAGATTGATTGACATGGAAATAGCTGACACAGCTGCTACATGGAGGAAAGATGGGTGAGTTAGCAGAAAACACAGAGGGCAGGAAGGATGAGTAGTCTCGGAGAATGCAGTGGGTGTGAGCCATTCAGGGAAGGTATTGCATGCAATCATGAGAATTGCAGACCGTTAGCCTTGGTGGGAGGTGGGTACTGAATTCGAGTGAGTATGAGTCTTGAGAGGTAGATGATGGTACTCACGGCACATTCCTACTGACTGTCGAAACAGCACAGGCCTGGATGGCAACTTCACAGCAGGCTGGCAGGGTCTGCTGCTGTGTTCTTTGGTCATCTGGGCATAAAGGACAAATTTTGCTCCGCACCAGGACCTCTGGATCCCCATCTGCGAAGCGGCATTCCAAATTGCCTCTGTCAGACATCCTCTTTACGATTTCTCAGAGGCATGAACTCTGAAGAACAATTCCTGGTTTGCAGTGTTTGAAATGGTGCTCAGCTGGAGTCTTAAAAATTGTTGACAATGATATGAATGTTGGAGGGTGCTGGCATCTGGGAGCAGTCCTTATTCTGGCGAGCAGTTCCATGGTTCAGCTGCTGAGTGCAAGATACCGTGTGATGGCACCATGTTGCTTACTTAATGAGGTGAAAAGTGTAAAATTGCATGAGAAACATTGCCAGAACTTTACTGGAGGGGAATGCTTCATAAACTCTGCAAAATTCACATTTTGCGTTCAATTTTAGGAAAATCTTTAACCCATTGAGTCACTTATGGCATAAAGGGAAGCTGTTCGTCCTGATGAGTTTGTGCCAGCTCTCTGTACAGTAATCCCATTAGTTGCATTGCCCCACTCTGTCCCTGTAGCTCTGCAAATTAATTTCCTTCAAGAGTCCAGCCAATTTATTTTTGATATTTAATGATTGTTGCTGCTTGTATCGTAGTCTTAGGCAGTGAGTTCCAGATCATTAGCACTGACTGTATTTTTAAAACAAACATTCCTTGCATGAATCCACCACCATCCATGCCCCACCCTATTATTTAGCCTAAACCTTAAACTTATGTTTGCTAGCCTTTGTACTGAAGTCTGTAGGAAGAGCCATTTGTGTGCACTTATTCTCTATTTTGTGCTCCTGAAACATGTAAATGTGTCTTGGCAATAAATTGTGACCTTACTTTCATTGGAAATAATTATCACAAATTGTTTGCTGTAACCGAAGGTACCTTGTACAGGAAAGCTAGTACACGTTTCTTTGGAATCCTTCAAATTTCGGAGTCTATTTGGTTTATTATTGCTTTGCTGCTGCCTGCACCACAATTAGAGTGATTTAACTTAATCCAGCCCTGCTTTGATCTTCTCCTGTCTTAATACTTTTCTTTTCCCACAAAGTATTGATCTAATTTTCTTCTCAGTACGGTGATTAATTCAACTTCATTCCTTACTTAATTAATCAATTAAAAAAAATTCATTCATGGATGAGGACATCACTGGCGGAGCAGCATGTCAACCACATTGTGGTGGGTCTGGAGTCAAATGGTAAGGATGGCAGTTTCCTTCCCTGAAGGACATCAGTGAACCAGATTTTTTTTCAACAATTGACAATGGTTTTACGACGATCTTGAGACTCTTAATCCAGACTTTTATTGAATTAACCATCTGCCATGGCAGGATTTGACCCCAGATCCACTACAACATTACCTGGTTCTCTGAATTAGCAGTCCACTGATAATACTACCAGGCCATCGCTTCCCCTAACTTGAGTAATCTCTTGAACAAAGTTCTTTCAACTGACACTTTTTTGCGTCTGCTGCCTATCTTAAATGTATTTGGGTAGACTTATTTTTGCATGTATGACTGTGCAAATGGTTTCATTTATGCTTCAGTGAAATAAACACTTGAGTCTCTTTCAGTTTATCTGACCTGGTTGTGCGTGATACTGGCATTAGAATGCCTGAGAGGGGAAATATTACATATCCTAGCATTAATAATGTGATGATGCACAAAAATGTGTTTGATTTCTTCGAAGAATCTAGCTGTAGACAGCATAAATATCTCCACATTTTTCTTCTAAAAAGTTTTGCAACATATGTACTTGTAGGTTTACCTTTAAATATGAATATTGAGTCTGTGTTTTTTTTTGTTTTTTGTGTAGTCTGGTCAGTTCACTGAGGATATGATTCCAACTGTGGGTTTCAACATGAGAAAGCTAACAAAAGGAAATGTCACTATTAAGGTAAGCTGGCAGGATAGATTTCTACAAATTTAAACAGCTATTTTTGTGTACATAAACCCCATACAGGATTTTATTAATACACTGTAATAACTTTTAACTGTCTATCTTTTCCGCTAATAGTTCACTTCATTTTAAGAAATGTACTCTGTTCTCTTTCTTGCAGTTCCCACATACAAAAGAATTAGTAAGCGCTGAGTTGGGTAACCATGGCTATAGGATGTGTTCAGATGAGATTAATCGTGTCTTCATGTGATAAACATTCTGAAAATGTCTGCTTATTGAAAATTCCATATATGTAAAATATTCTTCATCCTGTGTTCATTTGCAGTTTTTTGGGATCTGAAGCTATTGTGTCTCTCCCCTTACATTGGATTGCTCTTGTGCATTTGTTTTGTAATTTCAGTCTCTTCCATTTGTACTTCTGCAATACTTGGAACTGAACTGGTGGAGCACAAGCAACATATTTGCTTTGTTGTTTGTGGTACAGATGCAGAGGCATGTATCATTGTTCCTCGTGATACCAGTGAGAGTTGATCTGGATCATCTGGTGACATGTCTGATCCATTCAGTTGAGTTAAGTAGCATCTGAAGCGAACTTTGTGCAGCCAGATGCATTTTACAAAGCCAGTGTAATAGCTGGATGACTGCACAATTGAAAGACATCTCTGTTTCGGGAAGATTTAATTTGCTTGAAATTTGAGAAAGTTGCTGAAACAGAACTGCTTTGTAGGAAAATGTATCAATTGAAATAGCATCTGGCCATAATAGCTTTCAATGGTGTAAAGATAAGAATGCTTATCTTTCAACCCTGAATTCTAAAGATGATATCATTTCTGCAAACACAGAACAGATTGAAGGATGGAATTTTTTTTTTGTTGTAATATATCACTGTCCCCTACACCAGCATATTGTGCTGCATGGTTGCAAAGTCAAGGAGCATCATCCGTTTTCCTATCCGGTTACAATTTTCAGAATGTTTAAGAATTTTAAAGAAATGTTAAGCATTTCTTGTCACTGCTTGTGGATTTCCTGGTGTTTTATCTTGAACTTTTCAGCTTTAGTCTTGTCATTCTCCAGGACATTTCACTAGGATTTCTCAATTAATATTTAATGTCAACCTTCAAAAGAAGTAAAACCTTTTGGTGTTGGCATAAAATGGTGGCATCAGCTCCTGGTAGTGTCAGTTCAGTTGGAGAGAAGTCACAATATAGGAAATTTGAATAAAATGTCCCATGCAGACAAGTGAATTAGTTTTTCCTCCCCCACCCCACCCCACTCACCCTAACATGTAAATTCTTATGCTTACCTGGAGGGAATGGAGAATGGAGGCGAGTCTGAATCCAGCCCAAGGTGGGAGACAAGTTGGAGACCATGCTATGCGGGAGGCAAATCCTGGGCCGGAGTGGGAGACAGTCTGAGCCGGGGCTGGCCTGGGAGTAGGGTCCTGTAGGTGGGTCCCGGAGGCGAGTCTGGGCCGGAAGCTAACGTGGAGGCCCCAAGGCATCATGTCCTGAAGCATGAACTCAGTGAAAAGGACTATTATTTGAGTACTTTTTAAAGATACTATCATTCTTATTCTGGACTTTGAGTAAGTTGAGCACTTTTTAAAACTTTGTATTCCTATGCTAAATTTTTTTTTTTAATCTTTCAATTCTGTAACAAACACTTAAAATAAATGTACCTAGGTACCCAGTACCTAAGATGGCGCCAAAGCAGCAATGTAACAAACTTTTTGCTGCTCTCATTCGAGTGCACGTGCCAATAAAGGGTATTCTATTCTCTAGTAATTCTGGCACAGATAGAGAGAGGAAAAAAATAAGAGAAGTTAGTGATAGCTGAAGTGGAAATCTGAAAACCACATCCAAAACATTGGACACAGCAATTGGATAAGTGGAAATAAAGATTGATTGGCTGATAATGAGTAAAGCCATGTTTAGATCCAAATATATATCAGTTGTATAGTAGTACTTTAGGACCAGGAAGTGTTGATTTATATCAGCCAGAAATTTGCAATAGATGGAGGATAAGCTCTATTTTTAATCATATGGACTTGGACGTTTTGTACATGTTCACAAAAGACATGCCTGTGGGATAATTGTACCAGATGGAACACATTCCCATCAGTTAAAATAAAAATAGATAATACTAATTTCATGTTTCTTAAAGACCAGTGCACAAGCAGTAGAAAATAGTGAGCTTTATTGTGATCAAATAATGACTTTACTGCTATTTTAAAAACATTAGCCATGTCTGAATAGCTAATGCCACCCTCTATTATCATGAATAAAGAAAATGAATTAAATAAACAGGAAAAAGAAATAGAAACTTTATCAGCAATATAAGGTCATCTCTGTTCACTTCCTTGTACCTCTCTCCACCTACATTCCAGCTCCCCTCCTCACTTTCTGCTGTATCACTACTTTTGCGATTCCCATGTAGGATCTATGAACAAAAATAACAAAATTTGTTGAACACCTATGAAATTAAGAAATTACCAACAAGGATCCACATTTTGTAGTTTTTATTTTAACATATCTTGGACCCAATGAAAATTAAACATGAATTAACAGGCAAGTCATATCTTAGATAATAAACATAAATTTCACTCTGATTAGTAGATTCAACAACAATATGTCTTTGGCAGGAACAAGCATTCTCCTACAGCATGTATTGTATCACAGTGTTCCACAAAATGCTGTTCTTTATTTACGGAGGATAAGTCGGGAGTCCAATTTGACAGCCTTCACCTCTGAGTTTCTTAGATACATTAATTGTCAGGAAGGCACACTTCAGTGTATCCTCTTGCCTTTTGGTCATTTCAGTCCTGATGGCATAGCTTTCCAGAGCTCCTTTTTATTTAGCCAACCGATGACACCATGGTGTATGATTTGGCCATTCCTGGGAAAATACCCATCTCTTTCATGTCTCTGAGATTTTTATACAGCTTCTCAGCTTTTTAAGTTTCTCAGCCAGTTCGCACAATGCTTTGAAGAGGTCCTGTTTCCTTTTCAAACAAATAGAATGAAAACTAACATTTTCTTGAGAGTGATTTGATTCTTTTTGTCACAGGGAATTCTGTGTTTCTCTTTCTGTCTCTACGTTCTTTCTCTTTGTGTCTCCATCTGTGTGCTGATCACCGTATTCCTCAGCTCCTCTGTTTGTAGCTCTCCTTTACCTCTGTCTGTTAGATGGCTTCTTTCTCAACTTGCTTCAGTTCCAGGTCAGAGGTCACCATGTGACAATAGGCTAGCATTATGAAGGATCTTCTGGTATTAACATTTTTTTTGATGATTGGTATTTGAAGGATTGTGAAAGAAAGGAAGGGTACACTTTTGGTTTTGTTAAGAGGTCACTAAGAGAACTGGATGTACCTTTAAAGACATTGGAAGTCACATGACAAGCTGACTTGTTTACTGGAAGTTATATGTCTGAGTTATAGTTAGAAGGAGTTGTGGTTATTTGATGTCGTTTAGAGTTTGCTTGGTGTGTAGTCTGCTGAGAGAAGTCACCCAAATACCCAAATAATCCAACTTTGGAAAGACTACTTTAAATCCAGTGTGAGAGCTGGAAACTGAGACATCTGCTACTCCTGAGAATCTTCCAGAAAACTTCCTTCCAGCATCTCCCTGAATGAACGGCATCTGTAGAAATCTTAGGGATAATCTTGTGTCTGGTAACAAACATCTGTGGTTCAGTAACACCAGCCTACGTGAACAAGGACACCAGACTCAAAGTTGTCTGGAACCTTTCATATTCTTTTGTACTTCAAGAACTAACAATTACTTGGCCATGCGTGTGTGTGTGTGTGTGTTGTATATTTACGTTGTATATTCAAGACCGTCTTAATTTTGCATCTTCATTGAATAGGCTTTCTTTCCCAATATAATACCAAGAGAGTTTCTTAAAATAGCAGTTTGTTTGCATAATCTGTCTGCTGAGTTTTGTTATGTCCATGCCTGTTAATTATAGGACATATGTGAAAATTCTCATGGTGCAAATTAGGCAGGAGATGAAGAACTTTTAATACTTCTCAGGGGAGGGTAGAGGGAAGGAGCACAGGTTTGGTGTGACTGTTTTAATTGCCATCAGATAACATGTCAGTTTCAACTGAAACTCTGTTGTGTAATCCATATTGAAACCTGGCCAATCTGTGAAGGTCAGGTTATGACTGTGCTGTTTTAAGTAAGTGCTTTTGGTCCCTTTTCAAACAATTATTTCAGTGCATGAAAGACACAGATATTAAATCAGCATATGGAATTCTAAATAAATAGTTCAAACTTTAAATTATCATCACACAAAAGCATCTTGCATTGGAATTTACAGTCCCACATTGGGGTCCAAAAGTACTTGTAGCTGTCAGTCAAATGTTATATAATAAAAGGCACCCCCACTATGGTAATGGATGGTTGTGATATCAGTCATGCATCACTAATTCAGGAATGTAAACTCTCAGCCTTGTGTCAATAGAATGAAATTTTTTTTTTAATACACCAGACATTGTTTACAAAATTTACAGCAGTACTTTTGACTATCTTGACGCTTTTTTTAACAGGCCCTTTCTCCAGATCCTTCTGACACTTTTTGACAGGTCCTTCTGACAGTTTTGAGAGTTGTCTTTGAAAGGTCTGACACTTGCAGTTAGCTTGACAGTAATGAGTTAATGCATTGTTTATGCACAATTATGATTACCTTTTATCAATTACAAAGGACGCCAAAAACAGATTTGAATGGAGGCAGTCCATGGTTTACATTGCCAGCAAACTCAACAAATTGAACATGTGTGAAACTCATCCTGCCCACAGTTTCCATCCATTGGCGATGCCAATATTGGGAGCATGACTTTGGATTCTTAATCACTTAAATCATTTACTTCCTGTCAGAAAGACTCTCCAATGTGGCAAAAATCTGAGCCTTAGTAAAGTATTTGACCATGAATCGCGCTCTGGAGCACATCTGCTCCATTGTTAAGACCATTTATGTTCACCTCCATAATAGTACTC